TTACTTCTAGATTCATTTAGTTGATTCACTGTGGCCTGTACTGAGATAAAAACAAAAGTGAAATCTTGATGTATAGGGATATTTCAGTGCTGTTTGACTCCTAGCACATCTCAGGTAGCTGTAACAGGTTGTACGGTGGAACTGTTGCCAAGAAGTGATGATAGCTGTTCTTACACTAGATTTATTGGCATTACACTATACAACTTCCTCCCCGATTGGTCATGCATAAAGCTAACTCTCCCACCAAGTTTGCAAGTAGATGGATGTGTTGTGATAATGAGGTTTCTCAAACCTGACTTTTGCCTACCCTCTGTCTTACACTGCGTCACAGCTAGATCTCTGACCACTGCAGGGTATGTTGCTTAGCGCTGAAAATATATTTAACTGCAAAAGGCATTTCAGTTAGCACGACTTCTGGAACACTAACTTAGATTCTTCAGGTTAGAGGCCATCTTCTGAATCATGAGCTGTGCTTTTCCTACGTGCTTTACTGATTATTAATCAGGTGAATAAAAGCCTCCTTGTAAAGGCCAAATTATAAGGATTGATAGATCAGTTAGATCCTTGTGGAAGTATCTCCTGATCCAAAACTCCTCTCAAGTCATCAGAATAACACAAAATATTCTGGCAGACAGACTCCTCCTTGCAAAGCAATATGGTTTGGATATCAAAACAACAGGCTTGCCAGCCTTTGCTACTCAATTTTGTTATGGGCACCTCTCACTGACACAATGTGTACTTAGTTTTCATTTTGAAGTAACAGCTAAAACATTAAAATGCTTGTAGGTGTTAGAGATCCAGCATAGCCTACAGACTTCTAAAAAGCAAAACAAACTAAAATACTAGGAAGGACCTTTCCCTGCAAACATAAAGGAGTATCAGCTGAAGAGAAAGTGCTATCAGATGCAAGAAGTCATTTGTCAAAAGGACAACTTAAATATAAAATTATAGTAAAGCAGACACAAACTGCAAAAGATAACTTAAAGAAAGCATAAAAACACCAGAAGACATTTTCAAATGCAAGGAAAATCAGCCTTCATTTCTAGAAAATCAATTACTTTGATTGCCTGGGAGGTCACAGTCAGGGAAAAATACTTTTGTTTCTTTGTTTTGTTTGTAGCAGTCTTCCTAATAATCTAGCCATGAATTCAGAACTTACAATAGGAAACGCCTACAAATGTATCCACTTTCTGCAATTGCCCACTTGCTAATTATCTTGTAGGGGATAGGGAAAAAGATTTTGGACATGTGACATGTGACAAATGGACATGTGACAAGTACTTGTCTCTTAAAAAATAACTTTACTTTTCCAACTGGAAAGTCCTAATCTGTTTAGTTGCTTATCTTGTGGAAGCTGTTCTTTATCTTCAACAATCCTTTTAGCCCTATTCTGTTCCTCTTTCAGTTTTGTTAGATGCATTCTGTAGTCAAAATGTGGGTACAAGCTTGACTTATTTTACCATAAAATAAGTTTTCCTTTCCTATTTGTTGTTGTTGTTGCTGTTCTCAGTTCTCATCCTAAATTCCCAACACTTTTTGTTGTCTTAGCCATTGCTGAGCACTGAGCTGGCATTTCTGGGAGGTATTCACAGTAATCCCACATCTCGTTATCTATCTGACAAGAGCTGAACCAGAAAACCCATTGTATGATGTAGGTTTTATTTTCCCAGTAGTGAATTTGCAAAAGATTTAATCTATTTCATAATTTAATATTGTTTTTTTTTTTTCAATGTCTGCATTTATCTCGACTATCTTTAAAGCTCTGTTTATCAGCAAATTATTTTACCTTTGTATCTCTCCAATTGTTTTTGTTTTTTTTCAACTTTTTGAAGAAATTCTGCTTTTTTTTTTTTTTTTTCAAGCAGAACCTATAAAGTAAGAGGTAATAAACTACAGCAAATGGAACTTGTTAAAGTAGTTTGTATACTTTTCATAACTTCAGCTGTGCTTGTATGTAATATTGCTTCTTTTATCAGTGTGATAAACAGATGAGTGAGAAGGTATGGCCTTTGAGATATACTTTGCAAATGCAGAAAGATACTCTTCCTGTGATCCTGAGGTTCCAACTATTTAGATTGCAGTTTCACAAACCAAATAATTGGATGTGTAGGTTGTTGTTCAGCGGGGAGATTCCAGGCTCTGTACACACCATCCACAAGCTGGGCCTTTCTGCTCCTCTCCTTGCATTGATCAAGAAGTCCCAGGACTGTGGGATTAGTCATGAAAACATAAAAATCTGAATCACCACATGCATTTATGATTGCTAAATCCAGTACGAGGGAGAGGGCAGGAAACATGCAGCTGGGCTGAAAAGGGGAGGCAAGAACTGTTCTTTTGGGAATAGTCTATAATTAGACTGTGTTAAACGTATTGTGAAATTGCACCTAAGCCATAGTGCTCCTACTTCTTTACAGAGGACAAATCTGTACTGAAAAGTTAACAAAACCCAGAATATCCTCACTCCCAGTCCAGAGCATTAAAGGCATGTCGCCCAGATGTTCTGATTCAAGGTAAAGTTTTAACCTCACACAAAAAAAAGATTAATGGCTGCCCACATCATCAGACCTGTGACTTGCTTTGTGCCCATCTGTGCTTGTTATGCTGGTCAGTATTCAGATTGCTTATGCAGAAAGTGAAAACCTGCGCCAAGAAATAAAGTCAATAAGTGAAGTTCTCTAATTAAATAAAAAGATCAATTCAGTCTGTTTGGCAGTGTCTAGTTCCAATTAGAATAACTAGCGAAATCTTAATTTTCAGCCTGCATCTATGAATCAAAAGGCCCACTGCAGCCTTATATAAATAAAAATAGATGAATGCAGTTGGCATTCTTGCTGGGAAAGCATGCTGGGCGGCACAGATCTAATGCCACACAAGTGATGCAACAGCTTCAGAACTGATGGCAATTGTGAAGACAGGGCAAGAAAGAACTAAGCACAAAAGCAGAGAGCCATTAAGGCTCCGTGATAACAGTGCTCTTTTTGCTATTTGTTTACTCTTGTATTATCAGTGGGAAGTCAGAGTAACAAGTTCAGGTTAAACTTAAAAATAAAGCAGTTCAGACTGTTTGAAGATAGCTGCTTTCAGGAGCATTAGCATACATACAGCATACCAACAGCTGGTTAAGTATGACATACTGGCACTCATAATGGCATTCATAATTACATTTACTTATTCTATAATGCTAATGAAGACCAGCAGCGTTATCCCTCGTAGTCAGCAGTGGTATGTAAGAGTAGCACTCATACTGCTTACTGCCTTGAAAGATTTTCTCTGTATTAAATTACTGTGAAAGAATAACTCTATGTTCTGTCCTTTCATAATGAAAGCCTTCTTGAAGCTGCTACTCTTTTATTCCCTTGAATGAGAAATGCAGTATTCCATGTGAAAACTACCTGTTTCCATAAGAAAATATTTATTTTAATAACCTACTTAAGTATTTAAAATTTTGCTTAACTTTGGCTACCTAGGATTTTATTTCCTTATCAAGTCTTTTTTATAAAACATTACTTTCAATATGCTCTTTGAAAGGCTGCTTAGGTTTCTGGCCCAGTGGAACAATTGAATTTACTCAGGGTAATCAGACGCTAGAGCAGCAGCACTTTTTTTCAAGTAGCACTTTCTTACCAAGAAGTTCAACTACAAAGTAAAGGTACTTAAAACATTTTGGCTTTTTGTCAAATTCCAAGTAAAGGCTTCCTTGGCAAGTACCCTCTCTAACGTTTCATATAAGTTGTTCTATAGGAGTTCCACATTCCTCAAGGAAAAGCTATTTTATAGAATAGGAATCTCAGCTATCCTTATTTCTGAACTGATTTACTATTTATTGTTCCATATCACAACTCAGCAGTAGCATATTTTGTTGTAAATTCTTTCCATTACTCATAAAGCCACACAAACATCTTGGCGCTTTCCTCAGAGAATTCTTAACTTCCTATAAAAACAAGCAACAGAAAGCTACCAGGAAAAAAAAAACAGAAGTTTTTTAATCACTTGAGTCAATTTTATATGCCTAAGAGAAAGTAGGATTTTCTGCATGTTTAAGTCAAATACTCAAGTGAATTGCATTGCCTTTATTAAAAGAAACAAATCTGTGATGTACCACTTAACGTGACATATACTGTCACATGTGAGAACAGATTCTATTTCCTTCCCATTCTCAAAGATTTCCTGTGGTTGCTACAGAAATTGAAATTATTCTTGAATAGGCTTGCTTTTCCCTTTGTTCACTTAGTTGTGAGATTTCACCTTTTTTTTTTTTTGTAAGCTTCTAAAACCCCATGCTTTAAGTATAAAATACAGGCTAATATACCTGCCTGACACCTTTAACTTAGTTTGCTGTGATAATGCTTAACTACTCAATATTACTCTGGCTACCAGAGGGGTTGGGATAGATGGTAATACCAAATTTCACCATGTTGAATATGGTATTTTCTGTACTGCATGATGCCAAAGCTTTACACTGATTACATTTAATACTGTAGTCTGATCTATGCTGTGTGCAAATGAAAACATAATTAAGCTAAGGCTTGGCACATATTTGCATGTTTAGAAGGAATGACCTGCCTTGGAGAGAATCAAGAAGCAAATCAGAATGCCAGGTACATCTGGAAGAGCTGACTTGTCTTTCATGCAACTAATAGGAAATCTACTAAATTTTGCTAAATCTTATATATTTCAAATAATCTGAAAACTGGCTTATAAAGTACGCATTGCTTATTTCAAACAAAACTGTGCTGATGGACACAAGCACATTTAACAATGAACTGACTACATGGCATCAAACATTAAATAGAATCTAGCAAAAAAAGAACAAATAATTTTGCTTGCATTTTTGTCAGCTAAGAGCATGATCTCATGTTAAACTCAGTAAATCAATATAATCCATATAACTTTGAGGAAATAACTTTGTTGCTTTGCATTCAAAGTTTTACCCAAATATTTAATTAAATGCCTACTTTTGAACTCTGCTCTTGAAAGGTGCAACAAGGCAGAGCGCTTACCCAGTGTGGCTAGGTCAAGCAAGCACAAAGTGCTTTGGTGTCAAGCGGACTGCATGCATCAATGTAAGATAACTCTGGTCGCGATATTTCTTATTAACTTCACAGCCTTCAGAAGAGAGGGCAAGAAATCCACCTCAGTTTATTTTGAAAAGATAGTCTTGAAAGATACGTATCTGACAGGAGTGTCCTGGGGAGATGTCTCAGCATTGATTCTTCTCAGATAGCTTTTGAGTTTCACACTACTTGCCTCAGGAAAGATTTAACTTTACTTTCAGTTAGTCTGTCAGAACCCTCATAAAGCATCCGTGGCCCTGTAACACTGTAAGCAATATTCCTCTTGGGATTAAAGTATCGGTGTGGAATATATGGACGAATTAAAGCAGTGATACGTTGAAATCATCAATCTCCAACCTAGAATTACATATAAATATATATTATGTACTGGTGACAAGAATTTGATGTTCCTGTTCTCCCCTTCAACTATAAAATATATGGAGGGGTGTGGTGGGGGAAGGCCTTCTTTGATCTCCTGTATGAAAGCTAGTGTCTGAGCACAGAGTCAGAATACCCGAACTCACAGAGCAGTTAGCAGTGCATAACTTTCCTCTACAAAAATTCTGCTTTTCTTATCCAGCCCTAGAATTGAACAGAACTGATGTCTCAGCGGTAATGTTTCAGCAGATACTTAAACTCTTATGTCATTGTTTCATTTATGTAAGCTTTTCTTCTGCATTTAACCTGTTTTGTTGCTAATACAAAGCTTCTGTCTCTACCAGGAAAATCTGAAGTAAAGGAAAGGCTGAATAACTAGGTCTGACAACATCTGAGTATTAGATATCCATCTTGAAAGTATTAAAAATACTCGGGTATGACCAGGCATGTTGATACTCATTTCTCAGCAACTGCTGAAAGATTTAACAAATCTACTAACACAGCATAGCTCAGTTTTGGAGTAAGGCATAGCAGTAGACTTGTATGTTTGCATTCCTTTGACCTGATGTCTTTGTTAATTACTGCTCAAGTAATTTAGTTGTTTTGTTCATAGCATTGTTTTTTTAATCTTGCAAAAAGAAACAACAAAAGAAAGCTTTACAAAAATATGACCAAAATGAACACCATCTTGTACTAGCAGCTTTAAAAGTAATTTGACTTTTCCACTGGAGGAAAAGCATGTTCTTACACATGTAATCAATGTGATTACTATAGATGAGTCTAAGAGAAATGAATTTGTAACAAAAGCAAGCAAAAATTAACAAATGACATCAAACATCTGATGAAAAAATCCCTCAAACTGATAATCTACACTCTAAATTAACCATGCATATACTTCTTTGAACTAGCATACATACACTGGACTGTCCAACGGAGCCTCACATGCTGCAGGCTAGCAATGTGTTCTGCTGCTGGCAAGAATGCTGATGTTGATACCTGTAACAGAGATGTGGCCCATCAGCATACACTGAAACTTTCACCAACGCATTTCAGCCTAGATCTGAAATACTGTGTGCCAGCAGGCTTTATAGCTCACAGTTCCGTTACCAACACTGCTCAACCAACTCAAAAATCCTTCACCGTTGTTATAATTTCAGAAATAGAATAATGAAAATTTAAAATTATGGCATAAGCACATCTGTCATATCCTTCTAAGCACAATTTGCTATGTGTTACACTGATACACCAAGTATCAAAGGGTGGCTAAAACAGGTATGCTTGCCAAGGCTAATATATGCCTTTGATCACCTATCTCTGCTCATCTGAATGTTTAAGATGAACTTGAAAAACAGTGGATAACGATTTATGCTAAAAGCAAATACTTAAAAAATAAATTCAGTAAACGAAGGATCTAACTTCTCTTAGTATATGAACATGTGTGTATGAACTGAAATAGACTTCTATCTTCCTGCTAAGCAGAAATACATCAAACCCTTGAATGAAGCCAGGTATTTATAACTTACTGTCTATATTATAATTAATTTGGCTTTATCTGGGAATAACAGTACTGGAGAGAAGCTTGCAAGCTGTCAGATAGGTTGGCTAGACTGCTTTTGATTCGTGTCTCTTAAAATCCACCTTTGATAAATGCTGTGTGATGTCAAAAAGAACGTAAGCCAGTGTTTCTGTGTACAACAGAACTGTATGTCTACAAGAATAGGATCCTCTTCAAATCAATTTAAAAAAAAAAGTTTTCTGAAGAATCACAACATATATGATCTGTGAGAAGATGAAGGGAAACTTAAAACTTTTAGTTCTGTTGCCTGTCATCCCTCAGTATGTTTGAACACGTGTACACAAACTCAGAAATAATCACATGCACATGTGCACGTGCATGCATCTTCCTTTTCTTATTCCGCTGCTACTGATTCAATACCCATCACTCTTCACATGAAGCTGAAATTGTTGTCATTTTGTGTGCATCACTACAATGGCCAGTTTCTAGACAAACTAAGTACAAAATGCAGCTCAGATACTGCACACAACAAATTGTCCATATGCAGGAAAAATAATGCACAGCTTGAGGTCATTTCAAGTCAGATACCAGACTATTTATGCAGCTCTGTGTCAGGTATTTGAAACATAATAATAAAAAAATCTTCCAGAAATTTGTCAGGAAGGAGCTATTTACTTATGGTTATTTTTAGACTGTAGTACCTAGCTGTGAGTAGATCTTCTTGTTGTTAGGCTCCTTCTGAAAGTCAAAATAAACCCAATAAACCAGCTTGGTCAGGTTTCTAAAATAGACTACATGTATATGTCAAACTACTGTGTTTGTTGTCCAAGAAGTAACAAGGATTATCCAGGTAGCAAAACAAATGAAAGCCTTGATTTGTATTTATTATTATTTTTTAATTATTTTTCCACTGTGCAGATGGCACAGATCACTTCAGCATCCTCACTCTGTTATTTTCTTGCTTTGATATTCTCAGTATACAGTGGTGTTCTGATTGACATTTGCCTCGTGTTCTTCTTTCAAGCCTTGTAAGTTTGTTTCTGACCAAAGGTACATCAGTCAGTCCGCAGGTTGAGAATCTGCTCTCTCCAATCTATTTCTATCTGGAGATGGAGACAGCTACAGTGCTGATTACTTAATAAAATACAGCTGCGTCACACACAACTTGGCAGAGGTCACTTTTAATCCAAATGGCTCTGCTGGTGAGGGGGTTGGGTTGTTGGTTTGTTTATTTTTGTGTCAGGCTACCCCGTTGTAAATAAAGGGGCAGCCAAGGTGTGTATAACACCAAGTGAGCCAGTGGACTCAGGCTGAGTTGCACAGCAGGGATGATGCTTTGTAACCAGCACATTTGTTTAAATTCTCAAGTTCCAAAGTTCTGACCAGCATTCTCATATGTCACTGCTCCATTTCACGTTAGAAGATAAGTCTTGGTAATAGGTACTGCAAATGAATAGCTAAAAATTCAAGAAAGCAACTTAATACCTCCTGTCTAGAGAGGAGTCTGAGAGAACTGGATGGGGCAGTGCAGGATCTCTGGATTTTCCTAGAAGCAAGTCGCATTGCGTTGAAATTGGAGCTGAAATTTTCTGCTGCACTACATATAATAAGCCTGAGATACTGGATATCTATAATACCACAAATTGCAGAGAGAACATATGGAGGATTGAAAACTGGTAGGCAGCTTGTTGAAAATCTTAAAAATATACTTCGTGTAAGACTATCAGTGATGTTTTTTTACAGTAAAAGATCATTGCTTACTGTTTATAGAGCTGCACTCTCAGAATAAATAACTTATTTCAGTAATGCTTAATGAAAAACTCAATTTTACTTTGAAGTGTTTCCACATAAATTTGCATTTAAAACCTACCTCAATTGACATTTCTGTCAAATATTTTTATTGTTATGTTTATATAAGGGCAACATAAGAATCATAGGCATACGTGTGCCTAATAGGTGGAGTAAAGTATTAGAGATGAATTGATTCTGTAACGCATACTGAACTGTTGTGCAAAATTTCTTGTGTTAACTCTCAAGTATTTAGGTTAGCTTGACCTTGAAAACAAATAACATGAATTTAAATACAGATATTAATGTACAAGCTTTGTATTGGACAGTCCATGCTAGATAGCAAACTAAATGATGATCTAAAAGATCTAATGCAAACCTTCAGGAGTTAGAACCTGCAGGCACACAGCTCTACACAACCCCATCTCAGTCTGAGCAACTTCCATCGAGTTCTTGGAGAGCACAGGTTGCTCCAGAATCCATGCTTTCCAGGGAAATAGTGAGATCATTGCACACTTATCTGTGGTGGTAAAGACTGAACCTGGGAGGAGGTGTCCTAAGTTAATAACATAGGAAAAGACAAGCTTCCAAGGCTTTGCTTCAGTATGTGGTTGAAAAGATGCTGACTGGAGAGGTGGAAAGGTATGTGTCTGAACAGTGACAGTATGCAATGTTGTCAGACCAACAGCATCCGTATTTAGTTGGATACGGATAAAATGAAAAGAGTCTGTTCTGAATAAAATAGCAAAAATAGCAAAAATAACTCATAGGAACAGACTGTTAATTTCCTTTCCAGCAAGACAAGTATACTCCTTTGTGAACTTCGATGTAAGATGTTCTATTGTTATAAAAACACAAGCAATTTAAGTTCTACAATTCAGGAATAAAAAGCAGACAAAAAAAATGACATAAAACCCAACAAATTATAAATGACATTAACTATCTGAAACTCAGCTTGAGATCTTCCCTATCTGAGGTGGTTTGATTTGTGACTCTGATATTGATTTATTCTTTTTGAAAGTTTAAAATGTTACAATTTAAGCTTCTCATGTCATGTTTTTATTCATTTTACATTATTTTAAGGTACTTTAAGGTTCTCCTTTTACCAATATCTGCACTGCTGCCTACAACGTCACACCGACATGCTTAGCTCTTGAGCAATCCAAATATTCACTGTACACACAGCTGTGAATTTACCTGTTTCTCCTGGGCCAACAGTTTGGCTATGAATCCTGTTAAAGTCATGTAAACTGTGTGTGCACCAGATGACTCTTTTGGTTTAAACGTGACACATACGGGGAAGGCTACTCCATGAGAATTTGAAAGGTGTGATTTATGTTCATAAATCACGCACTGAATTGTGGTTTTCTGAGGACATGGAGATTTCTGTTCCAGCCTTCTAGGGTTCCTCATAGCAGATTGAAATGGGGATGGCAATTACACACCTCTCCCTGGAGGGCATCAGTAGCTGCAGCCTTTGTATCTTGTTTTCTTCTTATTTGGTGTTTAGGAGAGGCTGCCCAGCACCGCTGCTTTTCCTTTGTCCTTGCTGCTGATGTGACTTCAGCTGAGCTGCAGCCTCGGATTATGCAGCACAAGCCTCCCTCTGCAGAGAAGCGCCAAATAAGGCCGAGAGAGCTTTACTGGAGGCTCTCTTTGGAGAAATGCTGGTTTGAATGTCAATTAATCTAACGACTGAAAACGTGCATGTTCTTAAAAAAAAATAAAAAAAGCAATAGGACAAAGGTTTTATATTGCAGTGGCTATCCTTCCGCGTTTTTATGACGATAAATTCATTGCCATTTAACGTAGGCACTCGATGCCTTCAGTGCCAGGAGCAAGCGAGGCTCAGCCCGCGTCCTAAGGCTCCTCCTCGCCCGCTGAGGGGAAAGCCGCCCGCCCGGGCCGTGTTTTCCCGATACCTTTCCGGCGGTGATACCCCACCCCTGGCGGCACGCACCGCCCCTGGGGCCGCCGCCAGCTCCCCGCAGCGCGGGGCTCACTGCTCCCGGTAAGACTTACGGGCAGGTGCGGGCCGGGGGGCCGCGCTGGGCCCAACGTTTGAGAAGGCGCTCGCCTTAAGGAGCCGCCACGGGCGCAGCCCGCCGTGCCCGCGCGGCTCCGAGGGGCCGCACCGCACCTCCTCGGCCGCTACCGCTCCCAAATGGCGGCGCCTGGAGGGGGCGGGGGAGCGGGGAGGAGCGCTCCATCGGCAGCTCGGTGCTCGGCCGCCCGGGAGGAGGGCGGTGCGAGGAGGAAGGAGCCAGGCGCGGGGAAGGAGCCGAGCGCCGGCGGGTCGATGGGCGGCGGATAAATGTCTCGCTGGGTGCGGGGCCGCCATTTTAGATGAGGAACGAAACGAACGGCGCCGAGGGGAGATGAGCCCGGAGGCGGCGGCCGGGAGGGAGTGACATAGGTAGGGCGGTGCGGGGCTGCGAGCGGAGATGAGGGGCTCGCTTCTCTCCGTTCTGCCCTTTCTCCCTGCTCTTCCTCGGTGCCGCCGCCGCCGCCGCCTGGAGCGGAGCCCCGGGCACGGCGCCGCGGGGAGAGGCGGCCGCTCGGCGCTGACAGGGCCCGGGGCCGGCGGGGCCTCGGCCGTAGCCGTATGGCGGGGATGGGGGGGGGGCTCAGCCCCGAGAGCTGCGGCTGAGCCCGGGCCCGGCGGCGGGGAAGGTGCCAAAAGGGACGGGGGAAGGGGGGAGAGGCGGCAGCGGGGCGCGGGAGGTCCTTCGGCCGCCGGGCGGGCCGGGCGCGGTGCGGCCTCTGCCTGTCAGCGCCCGGCTGCGGGGAGCGGCCGGCCCGGCACTGCGTGTCTTCCGGCGCGGGGCTGAGGGCTGGGGGCTGCCCGGCGGCTTCGGGCCGTAAGAGCGCCTCCTCGGCTCTCCGCGCTCGGCACCGCTGGCTGCAGCTCGGTGTCTGCGCGCTGCTTCCTGCGGGGCTGCGGCCGCTCTGGGCCGGGATCCGCCGTTGGCCGAGTGGAAAATGGGTCTGTATCGCGGTAGCATGACTGAGAGCGGCGTGAGCCGCTCGCTTGCGTTCGTTCGGATTCAGTTTAAAAAGAAGTACGTAAAAACCGGAGTGTAGTTGTTTAGGTTCCCGGCTCCCTCGCACTGCCCCGCTGTTGCCATGCAGATGTGGTGCTGCTCTGTTCCCGGACTCTTTTATCTACGGTTCAAATGTGCACAGAAATAACCTCGCCGACAGCAGCGCTCCTCCTGTCCCCTGCGCGCCCTGCCCGTGTCAGGTACAGCAACCTGCGTGGGTTTACCCTCCTAGCCTCTCGGGCACATCCGCAGGTGCAGGGACCTCACCTGGGGCTGTGAGGCCTCGGGCACTATGGTGGAATTGCTGCGGCACGACCTGTATCCATCTGGGTGCTGCTGCGGGGTGCTGCAGGCACGCAGACTGGGAAAGGACTATGGTGCAGTAAGCCTTAAACTTCAGTCAAAATACTTGGAAGTAATTGTGTACAGGAGACCTTCAGAGCTTTTAAAATCTGTCTACCTATTTATTAAAGCTTCTGAAAGACCCTGATCCAAGTGCTGCCTAAGATTTCTTTGTTGGGTAATATCAGGTCATAACTGGAATGGATGTTCCTATCCTTTAGCGCTTGTCTGCAGTGTAGGTGCAAAAGAAAAGATCGCAGTGATGAATAGGAGGGTTAAGTTCCAAGCAGTTTGATTAAATCTGTTCTGGGGACATTCATTAAGAATGGAAGTGACTTTCATTAATTTGCCTTAAGAATATTTTCTGTGGGCGAGCCCTAAGGCTACGGTTAATCATAAAAATAAGTGTGGATCTGTATTTTATGCTTATGTAGTGGATGACTGACGAATACGGTAAGCAGTTCAATCTTAGATCATTAAATCAGCAGTGGACTGGCTTATTTGGGCCAGAGCAGCAGTGCTTCCAGAAATCTGGAATGTGTTTTCATGTGGTTTGTTGCCATGCTTAATATCTTCAGGACTGGACAATGTATTGTGCAACACTGCTGACAGACCTGTTCTGAAGAAAAAGCTGGAAGTGACAGGGAAAGTCTCTCTTTTTCCAAAGAAGATATAAAACTATTGTTGTCCGTTTAATGCTTTTGCTGTGCATGTAAAAGCTATCTTTTTTTTTTTAAGCAGCAATAAGGTCTGTTTGACTAACTTAAGGATTTGACTGCTGTCTCAGGGCTTGAACTTACTATGGCTTATTAAAATAACTCCTATTTTATAAACCACAGACATGACCTACGGGAATGGTTGGTCAGCACTTCTTGGTGTGCTCGATCAGCACTGGTTTCTTCTGGGACATACATGCCCCTCACTTTAGTTATTTGTCACATTTGCTGTTGAGAAACCGGGAGCTGAGGAAAAAAACAAGTTTTCCCGGTTTTCTGCCTTTGGAAACAAGTTAAGGTGATATGGTAAGCTGTTAGTTCTACAGCTGTTGCAGGAGGTGGAAACCAGAAGCTGTTATGTGAAATTGCTGTGACTAAAGAAGTCCTTAAGCAGTGAGTTTCAGATGGAGGAGTTGTGCTAATAAATTCATTTTTGTGTTACATACACGGAATGTTTAAATGACTTAAGCAAATGAGCTAAATTAAATATTTGCGTTTAATAGGCTGTTATTTGTGTTTGGGTCTGTGTTACCTCTGCGCTCTGCCAGCGCTCCCTTCCATGATACCTTCAGTCATTCCCTTCGCCACTGCTTTGCAGTACACCTGGCATCCCCTTTTCGATACTGCCATGCTGGAACCTCTCCAGGCGTGTTCTCTTCAGCTCCTTTGTGTCTCGCCTCCCTCCTGGCTGCCAGCAGCTTCCCTGGTTGGGTTCTGCCATGTGGGACGTGCTGCACCTGGCACCTGGGGTTGGGGCTGCAGTGCTGGTGGGGTAAGTAGGAGGTTCCTCTGCAGCCTGGCCTCCTATTTCCAAAGCCTGTGGGAGCTCTGTATTCCTGATGCCTCTACCTGCCTGCTTTGCTGAAATAAGCAAAGAAGCCCAAGAGCATTTGGAAGCGAGGAGGAAGGACAGTGGATGGCATAGTAACATAAAGCCAGTTGCTGAGGAAACAGGAGTGAAAATGTGCGTGCAGATTGATTTCCAAAACTTGCATGTAAATGAAGCTTAAAAAAGATGAATAATTGGAAAGGGCGATTGGTTCTTAAGGAGTAAGTTCATGGACTGTATTCCAACCTAAAAATGCAGAAATCTAAGGAATGTGTAATGAGAAATAGAGCTTCAGTTTCTCCTAAAATACCAAATTGCATAAATCCAAGTTATCTTTCTTTGAGGAAGTAACAGAAATACGTAAAGCAAGATTAAAACTTATGATTTAATCAGTGTTTTAAGCATGACTTCAGTAAGCGTAAGATAAATACATTTGTAAATGAGCGGCTGGCTTACATCAACATTGTACCAATTTGGTACGTAATTGCTTACACAAAAACCTTTGGTTGTTTTCTGATCTGAAATCTAATCGTGGAAAGCAGCTTCTAAATTAGAAATTAATTTTAAGAAGAGTTGATACAGCACTCGGAAATTGTGTCCAAATGCTGCTGCTACCTTTGTGGCAAATTAACAGCTTTTTTCTTTCTTTTTTTAATGATGAGTATGCACTTGCTTTGTCTTACTGGCTTTGAGACAGCATGAAGCTCACCTCAATTTGCATGGCTTTCTGTGCTGGCAATCCAGATGTGTGTTTGGTGTTGTTCGTTGCCTTTCTGAAAAGAAAGTCTGTTTGGGAACCTGCTTTGGCAGGGGGGTTGGACTCGATGATCTCTGGAGGTCCCTTCCAACCCCTACAATTCTGTGATTCAATTCTGTGATTGGGCCAAACTTGTGTGAATAATTCCCAGTGCTCTGTTGGCTCCTGCTGCGTACACTATTTTTCTGCAAACAACAATTTTGCTTTGAAAAGCAGCTGGCATGCGCGTATTCCTTTGGTGACTTGGATATTGCGTTTGTACTAGAAATGCCATCTATTTCACACAGGGCTGATTTTATCGCAGCACTGAGTGCTGACCTTTTGCAATTTAATAGACTGTGGTCATCTTGTGTACTGAGATGCTGCAGTGATGTAGTAGATGGGGATAAACAAAACCCTTCTCAAGTCGTTTGTAAACGAGTAAAGCGTTTTCTTGCTACGCCTCGCAGCAAAGAGTTGTAAGTGACAGTAAACAGTGTTTGCAGGAGTGAGCATTTTTTTAGAGGCTTTTAACGGACACAGTGGGATGCAATTATTTGTTTTCCAAAGGTTTTTGCCTGCTGGTGGGGAATGCCAAGAATTAGAGCTAAGGCTGTTGTGTAGCCATGGGTTCACGTGGAACAGTGCAGCAGTGAATCCTGCTCAGTCGTTTGTTTGCAGCTGCAGGTGTGTCTGCGTTCTGCGCATCCTGCTCACCACGCTACGTGCAGCACAGCTCTCGCGTGGTTAAACCAAAGCCAGTTGGTTTTAACTTCAGGCAAAAGAGTTTTGGAATTGCCTCACAGCCATCTTTGTGTGTGATGAGTGTGTGTCTCTGCTTTGTTTTCTTTGCAGTTCACCGAAAACCCTGCAGATGGGACCTGTATTTCCAGGTTTACTGATAGAATGCTGTTTTATTGTTCCTGGTTGCACGCTGCTCGCTGCGCTGTGGCTCTTTGCAGATGTTGCACCGATTGCTGTAGCGCTGCCTGTTTTCTCTTACCTCTGCAGAACGTTGCTGCATTTTGGATTCAGCTTGTGCTGCTGACGCTAAAATATTCATTTCTGACAAACAGCTGCCAAAAAGGTGTTAATTAATATTGCCTTCCAGCCGAAATATGTAGTATCGGTTAGGAGCAGTGGGACTGCGTATTTTTAGCTCGCGAGCTGGAGGGAGGTGGCCTCACTAACTTGGAGCAGGGTGTGGCGTGGGGTTAACCATGTTAATTAAAGCTGGCTCAGAGGTTTAGACTTTAAAAAATGGCTCAGAGCCCCCAGCAGGGCGCTTTGTTACATAATTTCTTTCACAAGAGAACAAGCTGGAGTTCTGGAAATGGGTGTTTTGGCAGCACCAGGCTGGGGAGGCACCAGTGAGCTGCAAGGTAGTGCTGTGCTGCAGGAAAGGTGTCTTTGGTGGTACCTTTGCAGGGCTAACATTTAAGTATTTATTGAGAAACTTCAACATATGACTAATCTGCCGTTTTATTTTCCTGTAGTGTTTTGTTTTGGTTGTCATTTGCTTCAGTACATGTCTCTGTTGGCTCCATCAGTAATTCAAACTTCTTTGTGTGTATTCTACTTTCTTGTTCTGTTCTCGATCATTTCACCATGTTTGCTTAGTCTGCTCGTGCTCTTGAGTATTTTCTGGAGTGATCTTCCTGTCTGTGAGAATGCCTCCAAAGGCAC